TCCCAACAGCGCTTCACACAGCTCCTGCAGAAGCTGTGGCTACATGGCAGCAACACAGGGTCGGTAAAGATGTCACAGCAGATTGGACATGTGAGATCCTCCTCTGGGAGAGACATGATCAGTAGCTTGTCACGTACAATGCAGTTAATCCACAGTTCAAAACAGCACAAATCCTCCGGTTTAAGTCCTCATGTAGCCTACTTATAATGGTTCCTCTGGCAGTAGCATAATAACTTTGTGTGCCTCGATAAACTTGTCTCTCTAGCCTCAGAGCACACTGACAGCCTATCTATTGTTCTTGACATGAAGTAGCAAAGGCTCTTGGTTTTCCTGTGCATGACTTTTGTGGGAGTAACTCAAATCATGCAGCACTGAGAAACAACCCAGTATGTAGCCAAGCTGGGAAACAGGAAATGAAACCCTATTGGCCAGTTTTGGGTGAGCTTAAAACGGGTTGTTACTGCATGTTTGAAATGTCATGATTCAGGAAATGAACGAGAATGTGGCACAAATGTTTTTAGTCTAGTAAATAATTCATTGGGTAGTTAGCAATTCACCATTTGAAAATGGGATGGCCAGGTCAAAACAACAAGTCATTTCCCATACACCAGTGAACTTAGTGACGAGCATTGTTTCCTAAATGTATTCACACAGTGTGGTTTCTATCTTTAAGACCCAGACTGGCTACACCAGCTCCAAAAGAAACAGGATTTGAATGAACTAAAAACAAAACACTTGCTTCTTGTTAATATACTGTAATAGGTACTCAATTATATTGGCATTGATAGTACATTGTATGCGTCTTAAGCATGTGTGTTACATAATTGGTGTTGGTCTTGAAATAATAACAGAATATTTGCTGCAGGTGCTCACTGTTTAGGATCAGAGGATTGTAATCCTTTTTTATATTCTGAAAGACTGCAAAGTCTGCAATCCAAAAAAGGCAGAATTTGAAATAGCTAAAAATAGACTGATCAAAACAGTGAACATGTCTTCTGAAAGCCTACTTTTTCTAAGGTAAGTTGTAAAGTGGGATTGCAATTGGGGGTGCATGTTGTTATTTTATGATCGTTTTTAAATATAATTTTAGAGTTATCCTTGATTCTGTATGAAAAAAACAACGTGCAGTATAGCATTTGTCTTTTAGTCCAAAGGTTTACAATTCAGTGTTCATATTCAGTGTTGGCCAGGGCCGGCCCTTGGCATAGGCAGTATAGGCGAATGCTAAGGGCGCATCAACCCATGGGGGGCGGCGGAATATTCGGGGAAAGAAAACATTAAAAAAAATTTAAAAAATGTTTTATTTAAATTTCATTACAAAACAATTTCCCGATTTTGGATCAACAAAGTACATCTTATGATCTTATCTTAACAAAACTACGCCTATATTGCGTACAGCACCCATAAACTATGGTGCATCCCCCCAAATCAGGTAAATTGAACTGCCCCAGCCCCGCAGCCCCCGGGTCAGAAAGGCAAGATTGAGGCCTTTAGTAGACAGTTGGAATGTAAATAGTGGTAAAAACCAGTGGTTTCTGTAAAATCTATTATTTTAGTTAAATCGTTTTTGTGTCCAGTTATAAAAACACGGGCACCACAAAATGGAAACCACATTTTTAATGTGGAAGTAGATTACAGCCCTCTCTTCACTTGATTAGGACAGCTCCCTCTGCTGTAATTAATGTAAATTACAGTAAAAACCAGAGGTTTATGTGAAATATTTATTTTTTTTAAATAATGGTTTTTGTGTGCAATTATAGGTTTTAATTTAAAATAAATCAAACTCCCAAAAAACGTAGAGGGGGGGGGGGGGGGGGGGCGGGGGGCGCCAGCTAAAATCTTGCCTAGGGCAGCAAATTGGTCAGGGCCCTGGTGTTGGCATTCACATTAACTTAGAAACAACATCTAATAACGTGGGATAATAAAAAAGTTGATACTTCAGAAGATGTTCTCAAACTACAAATGTTACTATCTTTGTCCTTTCGAGCCAAGGCTGATTGATGCCATGCTTCAAAGTAATGAAATCATGGAGCCTTACAATCGGCTACACTGTTAAAAATGCAAATGAGAGACCTTGATGACCTCACTACAATAGGCTGTGTGTGTGTGTGTGTGTGTGTGTGTGTGTGTGTGTGTGTGTGTGTGTGTGTGTGTGTGTGTGTGTGTGTGTGTGTGTGTGTGTGTGTGTGTGTGTGTGTGTGTGTGTGTGTGTGTGTGTGTGTGTGTGTGCAGAGCCGGCCCGACCCATTAAGCGACATAAGCGGCCGCTTAGGGCCCCGCAGCCACTAAGGGCCCCCTAGCAACAAAAAAAAGATCTCAGTACACCCTCGCCGTGATAAGTATGTTTAATTAATTTTGTTAATTTTATTAATATTTCCTAGATTGCCTACTCTCAAAGTCATGTATTATATTATTGAGTCAATAATATAATACATTAACCGTGCTTTACCTGAACCTCATCATGACACTAGAGAGGACGGCAGGAATGTAATTTCCCGTGTTCAGTGAATGCAACAGAGGCAAGACACCAGACCAACCAGAGAGTTGCATGGAGATAAACATCTGTCTTATTGGCTGACAGGTACCTATCATGTGAGCTGTGACAATGTTTAAAATAAACTGTCAGTCGGACTCAGAGTTTTTGAAGATGGACATAAGAACATTTTTTCTTAAAAAAGACAACAATTCTCAAGTGGTGGCTCACACAACAACCCCAGAGCCACCACTCGAGCCAGGTAAACAAGGTATGTAAATGTCAGTAAACTTCCAAGTTATGCGAACATGTAAGCAAAGCATAAATTACAGCTACGTTGACGTTACTTTGAATCGGCAGTAAGCTAAACCGTTAGCAAGTCGCTATAGAGTGGAGAAGTCACGCTCATCTACTTCCGCCCCATGGGACCTTATTTCGGAAAAATAATGTATTGAAGTCAATGGAGAGAGAAAACTTATGTTTCGATCCCGTTTGAATTGTGTTTGTCAATCTTAAAAAATAATTTCCATGTAAAAAAAGTCACAGTTTGTCGTAAAACTGTTGAAATATAAGACTAGGAAAAATACGTAATTAGAAAGACTACAAATCCCAGAGTCGCGTAAGTGATGTCACAATTGTTTTCCTCCACTAAGAGATAGCTAAAATCAGCGCCATATAGATATAATCTATCTATATGGCGCTGGCTAAGATAAGATAACTTTAACAAGATGCCTGTGTGCTTAGTACCAGGTTGTTATTATACCAGCAATGGGTCTTGCTCGTTCTTTCGCTTCCCGTCTGATGAAAGGACCAGAGTGTCTGGATCAAGCTAGCTAGTAGCTAGCACGTTAGTTAGCATTACAGCCTTGTCATTTTTATTAGCCTTAACATGAAGTAACATTAAGTAACCCAAAATGTTAAACAGTAAGAGTAGTAGTCATATTTCGTGAACCCTTTGAAGAGTACTGTCACCGGTGTGATCATTCTATAATACACAATTTAAGCCCGGGGAGAAATGCTAACGCTAACGCTAGCATTGACGATCTTCTCTACTTCATGCTATCTGCACAAATGGTTGACATTAAACATTAAAACGACCAGGCAGTTCAGAGAGAATCAAAGGAAGGCAGGCAGGCAGCTTTGCATGACATTCTTCAGGACGTGTTTCATTGTGGTGATAGTGAGGGTAGTCAATCGTTTTGTTGACAAGACAGTAGTGACGGCCATCTTGGTGACGTGTGTTGTTGACCAGAGATGTAGTTCATTGAGCGTTTCACACAAACAAATGTGTTACTTCACAGTTTTACGACACATTTTTTTTTTTTGACTTGCAAAATTATCTTTTAAATTGACAAACATCATATGTGTAATTCGTGGCACAATTCAAAACGGGATCGAAAGATAATCTTTCTCTCTCCATTGACTTCAATACATAATTTTTCCGAAATAAGGTCCCATGGAGGTCCACCGGAAGGGGAGGGACTTCGCCACTCTATAGCTAGCCAGATATATTAAATAAACACTTTGTCATACAATTTAAATCTTATGTTTTTTAGCGTTACCTGGTGATTTCAAAGAAAGCTCTCTGGAAAATGTTGACTTACTGTTCGACATGAAGCTAGAAGCTACCTTACAGTACACAGTTGATCCTGAGTCCAGTCAGTTAAAGTGTTTCATAGTTAGCTTAGCTAAGCATCAACCTAGCACTGAAATATATGGATGTTATGTGACAGTATTTCTGAGGAAAAGTCAGCTGAAATGGTGGCATAGTTGCCACTGCTTTACGTGTCGACAGCATGTTTGAACGTATTTACAGCAGTAAATGTGGCTGTTTGACCACTGACGTTGCCATAACAACACCTGAATTTAAATGGTCAACCTCTTTTTGTGACTTTTGCATGAAATTATAATTCTTCTGAATGATGTGCGTGCGTGCGTGCGTGCGTGCGTGCGTGCGTGCGTGCGTGCGTGCGTGCGTGCGTGCGTGCGTGCAGCGCCCATACACTATGGTGCACCCCCCCAAATCAGGTAAGTTGAACTGCCCCAGCCCCGCAGCCCCCGGGTCAGAAAGGCAAGGAGAGTCAGGCTAAGGTAAGGTGTTGAGGTGTGAGATTGAGGCCTTTAGTAGACAGTTGGAATGTAAATAGTGGTAAAAACCAGTGGTTTCTGTAAAATCTATTATTTGAGTTAAATCGTTTTTGTGTCCAGTTATAAAAACACGGGCACCACAAAATGGAAACCACATTTTTAATGTGGAAGTAGATTACAGCCCTCTCTTCACTTGATTAGGACAGCTCCTTCTGATGTAATTAATGTAAAATACAGTAACAAAACAGAGGTTTATGTGAAATAGTTCTTTTTTTGAAATAATGGTTTTTGTGTGCAATTATAGGTTTTAATTTTGTATTTATGTTAATTTAAAATAAATCAAACTCCCAAAAAACGTAGAGGGGGGGGGGGGGGGGGGCGCCAGCTAAAATCTTGCCTAGGGCAGCAAATTGGTCAGGGCCCTGGTGTTGGCGTTCACATGAACTTAGAAACAACATCTAATAACGTGGGATAATAAAAAAGTTGATACTTCAGAAGATGTTCTCAAACTACAAATGTTACTATCTTTGTCCTTTCGAGCCAAGGCTGATTGATGCCATGCTTCAAAGTAATGAAATCATGGAGCCTTACAATCGGCTACAATGTTAAAAATGCAAACGAGAGACCTTGATGACCTCGCTACAATAGGCCGTGCATGTGTGTTTGTTTTGTGTGTGTGAAAAAAAAAGTCAATGTTTATAATTAAATGCAAACTTTATATTTTACTTTTCTACTTTTTTTGTGGAATTCTGAAAGAAATTACATTAAGGATTTACGATAGATGTAAAGTTACAGTGTGCACTCGTCATAGCAGCCTCCTCCCCCCCAACCCCCCCTTATTACCTATTTACCTATAATTCTTTTGGTACCAATCCCAGCCACAACATATCTATTTTACAGCAATCCATGATGTTATTTTGTTGTTTTAACATGAAATTATTTTATGTTTAGTAGTTTGGAGTGTGTGTGGTTGTAGAGAATTGAAGACACTGTTACTTATCAGATTATTGCCATCTGCTGATTACTCCTGAGACAGTCTGCATCTCAGACTAATGGACTGCTCTTTTGACCTGCATTCAATCTGATAATTAAACAGATATTTTAGCTTTGCATGTTTAAAAATAGCTTCGTATAAAGTAGCTACAGTATGTGCTATTTCAGTGAACTCAGCTACTTTTAGCTATATTCAGTTTGTACATTTCTATTTTTACCTTGGCCTATATTAACATCATTCTCTCTCCTTTCCTCCTACGTCTCTTTTTTCCTTAGTTCTGGGAGGTGATCAGCGATGAGCATGGCATTGATCCCACCGGTGCCTACCATGGAGACAGCGATCTACAGCTAGACAGAATCAGCGTCTATTACAATGAGGCCACAGGTAAGCTACATATTCAGCTTTAACACACATAGCATATTCAACCATCTTTTTTCTTCCTTTACCTACCCAGCCCCAGATGCAAAATGATTTGCATACACGTCTGAGTTTTACATTAAACACAGCATGCTTAACAAGCTTGTTAGATTGAGGAGTGACGTTGTCAACCTGATTTCAGGTGGAAAATATGTTCCACGAGCCGTCCTGGTGGATCTGGAGCCTGGCACAATGGACTCAGTCTGGTCGGGTCCCTTCGGGCAGATCTTCAGACCCGATAACTTCGTCTTTGGTAAGCTGTGTGAAGAAAAAGTGAATATACACTGAGCTGGTATTAAAACGAAGATTTTTTCTTCCATGAGAATAGCTTCCGTGTGTTTCCTCCAATAATGAACTGTATTCACTACAGGACAGAGTGGAGCTAGAAACAACTGGGCCAAGGGCCACTACACTGAGGGAGCCGAGCTGGTGGACTCCGTCCTGGATGTCGTGAGGAAAGAGGCGGAGAGCTGTGATTGCCTCCAGGGCTTCCAGCTCACTCACTCCCTGGGTGGCGGTACTGGATGTCAGCCTCAAAATGGCTGCCACGTTTATCAGCAACAGCACTGCCATTCAGGAGCTCTTCAAGCGCATCTCTGAGCAGTTCACCGCCATGTTCCGTCGTAAGGCCTTCCTCCACTGGTACACCGGGGAGGGCATGGATGAGATGGAGTTAACAGAGGCAGAAAGCAACATGAACAACCTGGTGTCCGAGTACCAGCAGTACCAGGACGCCACCGCTGAGGAGGGCGAGTTTGAGGAAGACGGAGATGAGGAAGTCGCCTAAAAAATCTGCCATTCAGGCCTCCAAACTTCATTTTTCTTCAACTGTTCCTTACATCCCTTTCCATCAGGAATTTACATTCACACTCTGAAAACATCATCATCTAATCCATCGCTCTAGTATTAGACATTGATGTGTACCAATACTAGTACATTTAATGCTTTAAATGTTTTTGTATGTTGTTTTTGCACTGAATTACTGTCATCCTTACATTTGTCCTGTCATTGCCTTTCAGAATTAAAAACCAAATGATTTTAACTGTGAATCCTTGAGTTTGGAGGGTAAATAAAATGTTAATAAAAGCCACTTTTACTGCCTCTGAGTATTTTTTTCAAACATTTGGTCTACCTATGTTGTAAATGTATTATCTTTTCGATTTACACACGACATCTATTGCACGTCTGTCCGTCCTGGGAGAGGGATCCCTCCTCTGTTGCTCTCCCTGAGGTTTCTCCCATTTTCCCTTTAAACTGTGGGGTTTTTTCCTTTTTTGGAAGTTTTTCCTTGTACCATCTGAGGGTCTAAGGACAGAGGGTGTCGTATTGTCATACTGATATTCTGTACAAACTGTGAAGTCCACTGAGACAAATGTAACATTTGTGATATTGAGCTATATAAATAAACATTGATTGATGATTGATTGATTGATAAACGTTTATTTGACAAAAGGCATAAATAAACATGTTACATTTTAAAACATCTGATTAATCATGACGCATTATGAAATGCATGGTTGATCCAATTTAATTGAACTACAGAGGGAATACTTATAATACGTAGTGTAAACAATTTCTTGATTTAGCTTAATATCATTTCTCAGCATAACTTTTTATTGTACAGCTGTCTATATAAAAAACGTTTTTAAAGGGCCCATGTCATGGCCATTTCCACTGATCATAATTCCATTGTTGAGGTATACTAGAATAGATTTATACTGTGCATTTTTCCAAACTCACATTGGTTTCTCATACAGCATCTCTGTAAACTACGTGTATTCACTGAATTTCACTCTCTGCCTTTAACGGCTCGTTGTAGCTCCAATAGCTCCAGCCCCCACCCTCCCTGTGAGCACAGTGTGCTCTGATTGGTCGGGACGTTGTGAATCGCGCTGAGCTCCGTGGAGGTGTTGTTTCCTTGTTTAGGATACACAGCGAAACACAGCCAAACTCATCTGGAGCACACACAAACTCACAGCCGGATTAAAAACAATAAGTGTGGCTTGATATTGAGTAAGAAAAAGGTTGATAAACGCTGCGAGAATGGCCGTACCCGGAACGAAATGGAAGAATCAAATGGACAATGACGTATCTCCAACGAGGCGTTTTGGGGAGGTATTTTCTGTGTTAGAGTTTTACACGCTACAGGGTGTACTTTGAGGGTTTTGACTCTGCACACCGTTTACATGCATACAAACCTTCATAACACACAAGGGGACGGGTAATAACCGGAAAAGCATGACATGGGCCCTTTAAACTGTAATAAGATGTTTCATTGTTATTATTATTAGTCTGAAAATTATTTGTCTTGATTTAAAATGCAATGGACTCATCAGGACTACAAATATATTGCTTTTCCCTGTATCAAATCAAAAAAAGCTACATAGTAAATGGCAACCTTAACAAGAAAAAACATCTCTAAACTAAAAGATTAGTGGAGATAAAATACTGAAAGTCTTAATTTGTGCGAAATAAATGTTCAAAAACCTCCTTGAAATGTTAAATTGTTCTTCAAATCTTGTGAGATCCATACATCCAGGTGCATTTCTTCATAGTGCCACACAGGAACCATTCAATGCCCATTGAAATGAAAGCAGTAAGTAAATGCATCATGTGAATAGGCCTCAAACCTGGCAATAATGTCCTCTCTTTATCCTGGGAAGGTGTTTCTTTGATTGATCAGCTGAAGGTAGACTCTACAAAAAAATGTCATCCTTGAAGGATTTTGTAAAAACACAAAGCTTAAGATTTCAAATGAGTCTTTCCTCCTTTGGTAACTTTAGAGCATCTGGTGCTGCCACACCATGTGCACCAGACTGTTCCTCAGCACTGGGTCTATACGTCCCTTCTGTCTGCCTCCTCTTTTTCACCACGCAGAGGAGCCAGCCAAGAACGGCCAAGACTATGGCCAGAACACCCAGTGTGACTGTAGGGGCCACGATGGCTGCAATGTTGGGTCCGTCCTAATAGAGAAATACAGAACATTTGAAAATCTGGTGACACTGGTTACTCTTCTTAAAGTAATTTAGTGGTCAAGATAATTTCTATTTACTTACATCGGTGCCATTAGAACGGGTCTCGCTTGCAAGCATAGTATAATTCCCTGTGAAAAGAAAAGAAATGTCAGAAACACTGCAGTAAAATGTTAAGCCTTTCTTTTCAAAACCTTTCAAAAAGCTCTATGCTTGCCTGTTTATTGTACATACAACTGAAGATGGGCTTTCTCACTGCTGGATAACTGGTAACCTATTAACTAAAACAATCCCCCGTTCACAATAATCTAGGATGCATTTCAACAGTTGTTTAAATGCACAAGCATGTTAACTGACCATTGAGTAAGGTTACTGCATATGTATGGAGATGTTTTAAACTTCAGCCGTAACCTGGTTTCACCTAGTAATCTATAGTGGACTTAAAATAATTAATTCAGTTTTTCGGGAAATGTACTTTTTGTCCAAGACAATTTTCAGGCAACCGGCTCCAGGATGGGAAGTAGCTGCCTGTAAAACTGCAAATTGTTGTTTTGATTTTTCAGTTCTAATACAAGATGTAAAACATGCTTAAACCCTTTAGTGTGTAAACGCATTCACTGAAATAACTATCAATTCATGAAGAAAGGAAGATGTATAGAGGGATCCTTTAAAAGTAGTTGATATAAAGTGCAAAATTGATTTTTGTTTTACAAAAAACTCATGTTCAAACTTACTAACAGGAGGCAGCTATTGACCTACTTTTGAACTGTTATCTAGTTACATGAATTTCATTTATTTTTAATGCAGGGTTAGAAAAAAATGGAACCAACAGCACAGTAGAAGTAGTTTCATGCCCACAGTGCAGCATATGATATCCAGACAGCCTATTGCTGTTCCCAGCCATTTTCTCCATGACCAGCCATGTGATTAGTCAGTGACATCTCGAAACTACAAAGTTACTAGAGTGAATGAGGAGGAGGAGCTCAGGAATGCTGAGTGTACTGCGGTTTTACAGTCAGCTCAGTCAAGCAAAATGCTAGTTTGAAATACGAGTAAAATACACACAAATAGCTCTTTCGTTTGTTTGTTTGTTTGTTTAGGGAAAAACTATTTAACATCATTTTCATTCAAGAACATTTTGTTTTGGAAACGTAAACCCTCCTTTGAAGTTTTTCGAGTCAATCATTCACTAGGGCAAATATAAACTTTGCAAGGTCACAAGTAGGCTAACTTGATAACAAGAAGCAGGGGTTACAGCGGGGAGCCGAACACATTGTGAAATTGAATTATTTTGCATGTGTAATTATGGATAAGATAAAACCACATATACGTTAAGCTCATTCAAATATGGCAGTGTTTTTTTTAATGCATTACTTAGTCTAATACTCTTGCAAAAAGCTGACAAAACTGTGCATGTTTTAACTTTGTTCTGGAATGTAGGCTATCGTTTATATTTATAATGGCAGGCTATAATGGTGAGTGTGAGTGCATGTGTTAAGGTGTGGTAAGATGCTCATTTGTGTGGGAGTTTTGAGGGTGAAGGGATGGTCACTGACTCACCCCTGACAGGATTACTGCTCAGGAGCAACAGTATAACACTCCTGACCACAACTCCAGGTCTGGCCAGCACATCCGGACACGCCGCCATCTCTACCCGTGACCAGCAGGGCAAAGTGAGGGCAGACATGGGACTCTGGGACATCAGCTTGGGTCCATCATTAGTTCCAACATTCACTGTGTGGATTTATCGCCCATCTGGAACAGCTGAAGGCACATTATTGTCAGTGGAGTAACGATATTTGTTCCTTTTATTCTATTTATTTGTTCACTTTGACACTTGTATCCTTTAATCTAACTGTTGACTCATAAACACCATACAACTACTGAGTCACACATTCAGTCTGATGTTGAATAACCATTAAACCTGCTCAGACCACAGGGAAAGAATAAGCTATAAATAGCATTTTAACTGAATACAGCCTAAATGTTTAACCCCTTCTCATTGGCAGCATTAGTATGGTATGTGCAACTAATAACAAAGAAAATATGTTGTAAAATTAATTTAGCAAAAGCTCCGTTAGACACATACCATTGATCCATTCAGGCGATCGAATCAAAACGGGAAACATCGAGCAGGTGTATTCCTCGCTTCCGCCCCACCTTGTCATAAACTGCAACAAGTGGTTTAGTCCAACAGGTGAAATCTCGAGAAAAACACCGTGCTTCAAAAAAAGCTTGTATCAAAGATTGGACTACATCCTCGACTGTCTGCTCTACCGGTGGTGTTTTATGTAAAGCAGTTTTTTTGTCTACTCTTCAGATCGCCATTGGTCACATGGTTAAGTTTCGTATTACATTACCTGAGCGCAGTTATCCACCTGCAGCAGAGTGAACAACAGATACTCCTTTGTACAGAGTCAAAGAAAAGCGTAGTTTACTGAAGCACAGCAGACCCGATCACTCCTGTTGCCATGAAAACAAAACTCCTTGAAACACACACTATCAAAAAGATCACTTTGATCACAGGTGTGTCAAATAATGCCAATTTACCTCCTGATTCTGGATTTAAACTGAAGCTTTTTTTTAATAGTATGATGCCAGGTCGCTCTCACTTGCTCCAACCTGCTTGAGTAGACAGTGTTTTACTGTACTCCCCTGCACAGTTTACCTAGCAACCTGGCTGAGGGTGGTGGGATGAAACAGCGCCTCCCTCAGGTTTGATCAGGTTACCCAACATGAGGAAGGATATCAACATTCCTGAAATATTTTAAGGATGAATTCTGCGGCCAGCTGGTCCAGTGGACTCTAATCCTCACCTAATCTCTCCCTTCTCATACTCAGAGGGGCAGGGGAAATGTAGGCTGCTTCAAGCCTAATCTGCAGTGGTCATAGTTTTTAATTTGAACAGTGAGAGCAGCGAAGCGTTCTAGAAAAGCAGAGAACTGCTATTGAAAATGACTCTCATATTATTGCAGTTTATAGTGTGAGAAGATGCCAAACCATTATTATTAATTGTCATATACTGTGGTTTTATTTAAATTACCTATACTATTTGGTAATCACAATGTGCTGTGTCAGGCAGTCAAAGTTACTTTATAACATAACCTTAATAGTGAGAGTTATTGCCTAACCACAGTATATGAATGCCTAAGTAATGTGTTGTTGATGGGTGGTGGTGATATGGAGCTGAACATTTAGCTTGCTGAATAAGGCATGCATTATAATTTTTCAGTTTTTATTCACTTTCACAACACAATAGCTTGTGGCCGTCTAATTTCATGAATGTGCATTAAATGTAAAATATGGAAAGACTAATTAATTGCAAATAAGGCATTAAACTCCCATCAGCAATTGTTTTTAATGTAGGAAAGATATGAACAAACTGTGGGCCTTTGTTTTTTAAATTTCTTTTTACAAAGGCTTATTTATTTTTGGAACCAGCCTTTTACTAGAGAAAGCCTGCATCAGTCTGTTGTCCCGCATACAATTACTGCAGGCATGTGGTGTGTGGAACCATCACTAGTACATTGACATGTGCCTGATCATGCATGACGTAAGCCCATATTGAAACAAATGCTAGCTTTGTGAAGCTGTGACACATCAATTTGTGTTCAGAAGAGAACTGTTTCAATTAAAGTTTCCAAAGATGTATTGTGGCATTGTTTTTACTTGATTGCATTGATAGATATGTTTGAGGTGAGAAACCACATATTTGTATTTCCCTGCACCTCTCAGTCCAAGGTACAGCAGTGGGCTTAATGCAGTTGGAAACCAAAACTGTAGCAAAACATCTGCAACATATATGACCTTAAAGATGATCAATTCATAGTTGAAATTTCAATAAAGCGTCCAACTTGATTCAATTAACTTAGCTAGTCAGGAGATAATGAATGTTCTGTTTATTATCTGCTAAGAAATAATGCCACTGTGCCACTAGGGGCCGATTGAGGCACTTTGCTTTTCTTTTTAAGGGTCGGCTCCTGTTTCACCTACCGCTTGCCGTAGGCGCGGTAGAGCCTAGGTAGTACAGTAAAGCGGCGGGAGAACAGAATATCTGTCCTCAAATATAATAACAGTCCACATTTATACACAATAATAAGCAAATAGTGTGCATTGCGTCGTTTCAAGAAGGTTTTAGTTTGTTAAAACCCTTCGGTGTTTGGCAGATAATACCGTTGACCGCGTGCATTGTTGTTCTGCATCTTTTTAAACCATTCGCCTGGAATCTGCTTTGGACGTTTGTTTTTATTAGCCCGTTTTAGCGCTCCAGCAAGAATGGCGAAGGTACAGGTGTTAAATGTGGCTGTCCTAGATAACCCTAGTCCCTTTGGAAACCCCTTTCAGTTTGAAATAACTTTTGAGTGTATGGAGGACCTTCCTGAAGGTAGGTGTCGTTTCACAAAAGTTGTTATTTGAGGCTATTTGAAGCTTGAGCATGTTGCTAACGTTGCGTTGGTTCTGTGTTGGTCTGTGTACTAGAGATTGCTAACGGCTAAAGCTAGGTTAGCCACGTTAGCCAACTTAAGTCAGAGAGTCACATTTTTGAAAAGTACGGTAACCAAATGTTATAAGGTTGTAACGAAGTAATATAACACAGCATGACTTGATGGGTAACCTGTGGTTGACACATCTCCAGGTTGTCTAGCATAGGTCAATTCTTTGAACAAACCCGAGTTTATTGTCCTAGTGTAGACTACTAAAATTCAAATTGCCTCGCCTTACAGTGAATTCATCTCATTCCAGTGATGTTAGTCAAAGCCTTTGTTACTGCTCATTTACTTGTAAAAGTGTTATGCAAAGGTTACAGTGTAACTAAAGTAAATGTCACTAATACGCTTTAGGGGATTTTAATTAAGGGTAGTTAAGCCTTTTAGAGTTTTCTAATAGATATTTTATTCTACCTAACAGCATAGTCAAATAATTGGGTGTCAGTAGTAGCTACAAGTGAAAAACGTTTTTAAATGTTCCATTCAGTACACCTTTATACTTTATATTTACATTTGCTGTGTTGTTTTTTTCTCCTATAATTAGGATTATTAGTCATTTCTCAAATGGCTATAGTTTATAACATTAAAAAGAGGTTTGCAGAGATAATACTGACTTTAACACTTTATTTGTCTCTTTAAAAGTGACTGTACATAGACACATCTCTGAACTCAAGCTCCTGGTATAAACAATGAAAGCAAAAGCTCAAAATATGTGTCCTAACAATGTGAGAATCAGAAAATCATGTATATATTGACTATTTAAATATTGTAGTATTTCTACTAAATGATACATATGATCAGTTAGTTAACAATAATGGCCAGCAACTTTCCTGTTCATCATCTATTTGATTAGTGATATAATTTTCCCAGCACACTCTTCTGTAACTTTGAGTGGTAAAGTGAACCTAACTTCATTTTCTTTTATTTGTTTGTTTTGACAGACCTTGAATGGAAGATCATCTATGTTGGCTCCGCAGAGAGTGAAGAGTATGACCAAGTCCTCGACTCCGTCTTGGTCGGCCCAGTACCTGCTGGGAGACACATGTTTGTGTTTCAGGTGTGTTTGGCTAGGGAAAGAGGAAACTGTGACAGCACTTTGTGTTCCTTTAGCCATTTAGCATATACTGGGTACAGTCATTTTTTAAATAACATGTTATATTACTCAGTTCAACATCGTCAGTTGCATCCTCTTTCTCCTTGCATGTTTCCATTTAAAATGTTGGACATTTGTTTTTTCCAGCATAGCTTCTCTAATTGTTCATAGAGCCTTTTTAAAGATCAGCAAAATTGCAAACAGTCACTTTTACATATTTTGAAAAACGCAGAGGCAATACTGCAGTCCCTACACTACCTGCTCATCTTGTCATGTGACAATAATGCATCCCCACAGATTTGACATAATGTTATTGGATAGTTGTTTTTCCAGCCATAAAACCATGACGGTTTTAGCTCATTGTAGATTTATCTGGACCTTTATTTACATTATGTTGTTTCACTGCATTATCTGTAACTATTGATTCATCTATACGTTTTTTGGAAGCAGTTAAATGCCCATTTTCTGATTTAGGTAAACCATGCTCTAATCCTTTAATTGACAAATAGTGCAAGTCTACTTATCATATCACAACCCTGTCGCCATAGTGTCCACTTGTCAAGTGGACAATTCAATTCCTCAAAGCATTGTACACCAAAATGTTGCCTTGTATTTTACACAACTACTTGTGTTCCTTTTAACAGGCTGACGCCCCAAACACTGGACTGATTCCTGAAAGTGATGCTGTTGGTGTGACTGTAGTCCTGATTACATGCACATACCGTGGACAGGAGTTCATTCGCATTGGTTACTATGTGAACAATGAATACACAGAACCAGATCTTCGTGAAAATCCACCGATCAAGCCAAACTACACACAGGTCAGACAAATGGATAAAGTTCTGTTTTCAATATGACTGTTTAATGTTTATTTGTTATATGAAATAATACTTTGGATAACGATCTTTCATCAACTTAAATGTATAATGTAATTTCTGGTTAAAAAGCAGTTTAAAAATAATTTTCGATGGGGGGAAAAGTAAACTCAAAAATATGTACAAACATTAGGTGAAATACCTTATACACTACATCATTCAATGTACATTTTTTTTTTCTATATTAACCTTTAAAATATAATAAGAAGGCAGCATGGTGCATACATACTCTGCAGAAGTGAGGCTTTTCTTTCTGTTCAGCCTGTACTTTGTAACATTGATCCTTAAAAAATGACTAGTAATCCTATCAAACTCCCTTTGTTATATAACTAGTTAAGCAGAAATGTTACTACTGCAAGCAATGTTCTTCAGTGACAGGCCACTGAGTCTTTGAATGAAAACAATTTGGCACCTTTGTACCGATCTCATCAACAGAGTTCACCTTATCTGTACTTGAGGCTAGATGCCAAACGAAGTGTGGTGATGTCTCATATGAGTGCGCAGTGTGCTCATTAGCGAAAAGTACATGCAGCTAATGGATTAAGATGAAGGCTTCTGGGGAAAGGTTTTCCAATTGCTGTCAGATTGTTCCCATTTAAGTTGTAAATTGTGTAGGCAGACAATTTATATCTTTCCTACTCCCACTGGTGATTTGCACATTCTGTACTGTGCTGTGACCCAACTTAGATATGGTTTTACTGTCTGAAATCTCTTCAGTTTCTCATAGAAAACATATTAATATTCACAAGTAATTTAAATATTTACAAAATGTATATCTATTTTCTTTTTCAGCTTCAGAGAAACATTTTGGCATCGAACCCACGTGTGACGAGATTCCATATAAACTGGGAAGGCTGTGCAGAGCGGATGGAGGACTGTGAAAATGTGGATCCCTCGTCAAACTCCATGCTCCCACCATCATGTCTCCCGGGCAAGGCCCCCCCTTTAGGGATACTACCAGATAACTCCATGGACTGCTTATAGAGCCCCAAAGTTAATACCTCGCAGCACAAGATCTTCTGAAGAATGCCTATGGACATTCGAGTGTGGATGTAAAGACATATTTGCCTTGCAGCTTTCCTTATTTACCTGAAGCTTGTCAAAACGTAACTCTCATCTTGGGATTCAGATGATTGTTTGTTTTAAGGAGGATCAAGAACATCTTACTGGTATGAGCATCACTTATATATGTGAAATGTTCTTAACATAACATTTAAAACATTA